GGGGGTGGTGTGAATGGCGCAGGGGCGAACCTGAGGGCTGCTGCTGTGGGGCTGCTGCTCCCAGGCGGGAACATTCCCCCTCCTTCGGCTCCCCCGGGACCTGGGGGTGCGATGTGGAAGGCAGCTGCATCTCCCGCATTCCCGCCCTAGAGAGCCCGGGCGTTGGCCCTCCCCAGCGGTACCCTACGTTCCTCTTGGTTTTCACCATTCTTCTGCACGATTCCAGGCAGGAGCGGTGAAACTGAATGGCTGGTAATCCCACAGCCTTCCTTGGCAGGCTTGGGAGCGGCAGGAGGAAAATAAGCGTTGTCTCTGCTCTTTGTTGGGTCACACTTGAAAGACTGCTTCGTGGTCATAGCTATTAAAAGTGCATATAACCTGTTTTTACAGCAAATTTGTCCCAGCTGAGGTGGGGAATTTTTGAACCCCTAAACTAGAGTGATATGTGTAAGATGTTGGGTATGACCTCCAGGTGGAAAGCTTGGCTACTGATAATAACAGGCCACTCTTTCTTGTTTTACAAGGTATCTATAATCTCAGTGCAGTGCAGGAGTAGTCAGGTGGCAGGCCTGTAATGAGGAAGATTCTAATAGCAGAGCTGCTCATGTCTGGAAGGCTTTCCAGAGGCTTTAAATTTGGAACTCATTAAATACCTCATGTAATAGCATTGTTTTGGCACCCTTTTGCAGTCTAACTGCACTTTTCATTGAAGATCCTAAGGTGATATTTTTTTTGTCAGTATTCATCATGAGTTTTTAGCAGCAGGAGAAGAGAAAAAAGGAGAAAATGGAAGTTTTGGTATATTGATGGAGTCGTGATTTTTTTATTTTTTTCAATGAATTTATAAGATTTTTATATGTGCAACTAAAACAGGTAGGGTTTGAAATATGTGATAGCACTCAAAATGCAATTGTTGCTGATCAATTTCTTGCCATAACAATTTGTGATGACACTCAGTTTTTCCTTCAGTTTAAACATACAGAATGAATGCTGTAAAACACAGTGTATTTTAAAAGAACAATCACAAAGAAGAAAATTACATAATATTACAAAGTGT